GCATGCGTGTGTGCATGGAATGGTATGAGGGCATAAAATAATATATATTTCATGCTTACAATAGTGTGTGAATGATGAGGCATGATTTTGAATGTGTGTGTCGAGTCAATAGCGAGTTATCGCTAGTCGCGTGTCACGTCGTCGTTTGCGTGTCGTGTGCGGTTTTCTATTTTGTCGTGTGTGGAACGTTCGGCGTGTCGCAGGTGTGTGCAGCAGACTTCCAAAAACTCAAAGAAGAATTTATCTTGAAGAACTAGAGCCTTGGTTTCAAGATTCAACTGATTTCGAAGCTCTCCAAAAGGGTAAACTTTAAGATAGTGAGAATAGTTGCATTACTTTGTGTAGTGTAACATTTCTCTTGGTGTAGGCCTTTGTGGAGGGAAGTTTCGAGACCCTTCGTGGTTGGGGACAGTGTGGCACTGTTCCACATCACTGTACCTCGGCTCTTGGGGTTTGTAGGAGCTGGGAGTCATTCCCAACTCGTAACTCTTCCTATCTTGTGTTCTAAGTTTATAGTGGCTGCCATAGTGCCGTTCGTTCAAACCAACATTGCGTCCTCAATACTTGCTTAAATCGTGTGATTTAAATTGCTTATTGTAGGCGACATCAAGACGCTCCAGATCCATTTTATAGCAAGGCATTTGAAGCTGTGAGCAGAACGCTATCAACACTTGAAGCCGCTGAGCAGAAATCTGACTGTGCACTCTATCTTTCGTTTTAGGCACATTCAAGCCTATTGTGACTAAAACAAGTGGTATCAGAGCCCCTTGGAGCAGTTTCGACAATGGCTGGACGTGAGAAAAGGGGTGGCAGAGGTGCTGGTGGCAGTGGAGAAGTCCAAGCTCAAGGCCAACCCCGTGATTCAGCCATGGCGCCCATGCAACCAAGTCTTGGCCCACCTAGGGATGAGCTTAGGGTGTTTGGGCTTGACAAGTTCAACGGTGACAACTTTGCTGAATGGTCCTTCAAGATGGAGAACATCTTTGACCACTATGACCTGCTGGAGGTGATGGAAGGAACAGAGAAGCGCCCCGAGAACGACCCGGAGAAGAGTCCGTGGGTGCGGAAGAGCGCACAAGGCTATCTCCTACTTGGGCAAGAGTTGGGGAGCAGTCAGATCCGTCACATCAAGCCATTCCAGCATGAACCAGAGAAGGAACCAAAGGCATGGGCTGCTCTCAAGGGTGTACACGCTCCTGCAATAGCGGCGGTAGCGGTGGTGTTGGAACGGCAAATGGCGGCACTATGAATTGAAGAAGACGAAGCGGTTGAAGAAGGGGTGCAGAAATTCTTCGACTTATTGACGCGGCTTGAGGGAGCTGATTTGAACTATAGTGAGCTCCAAAAGAAGACCAAGTTGCTGGCCTTACTCCCAGAGTCATAGTCCTCACTCATCATCAACCTCAATCGTTACTTGCCCCGCCTCTCGCTTGAAGATGTGAAGCGAGCGATCCTTCAAGAGGACTTCCGCCATCGTGAGTTGGTGAGTGCAGATGGCGCCGGGGCAGCAAGCATCAGCCGAGGGTATGGCCGTGGAAGGGGCAGAGGACGAGGGGGAGGCAGATTTGGCAGCAACAACTTCAATGGAGGCTGCGGGAGTGGCGTATACAACAGCGACAACAAGAGCTAAGGACACGGCTGCGGCCGATTTGACGGCGAGTGCCACTATTGTCACAAGAGCGGACATATGTGGCGCGATTGCTACAAACTCCCTGATGGATGGACTCCTGCTCAAGGCGAAGAGGGTAGAGGAACAGGGGGGGGGAGAGGAAGAGGCCGTGGAGGCCGTGGCAGACGCGGAGGTGGTGCTGCAAGTATGAAGAGTGCCGGCAACGAGAGCGAGTCGAGGGACGATAGCTTTCCGGGTCAATTCTTCTTCGTGTCCACGCAAGTAGCGGCTGGTCCAGAGAAGGATGAAGGCTTTGAGGAGCCAGCAGCTCTGAGGAAGGTCACCCTACACTCCCAAGACTATTGGGTGATCGATAGCGGCGCTACCTATAGCATGACACCTCGTGCGGACTTGCTCACCGAACTTGAGCCGTCACCGGTGAAGCATGTGACATCGGCTTTGGGGCAGTGAGCAGAGGTGAAAGGCATGGGCAAGGCCATGTTCAAAGGTGCTGATGGGAAGATGGTGGGCCTCAAGAACGTGCTTTGGGTGCCCAACCTTGCTGCCAACCTGATTTCCGTGCGGCGGTTGCAAAAGGCCGGCATGGACACGAGCTCGAGGGGAGCTAAGACCTACACCGCGAGGCTTGGCGAGCGGATTCTTTAGGAACTTTACAAGGATAGAGATGTCAACAACGAGTGTGGCATATCCCTGTGTTCCCCATGCCTAAGGAGAGGCAATTGGCAGCAAGCATCAGCACCAAGGGTGAAGCGGTTGGTAGCGGTGATGGCGCGGACGGTAACGCTAAGGAGATTGAGTCCAAGAAGTGCAATCTTGGAGGGACCAGCAAGCTCGGTGAACATGACGAGAGTGGTGCAGCAGCCAAGAAGCAGCACAAGGGTGAGGAGAACCCCAAGGCAGCAGCGGAGGAGGAGTACGGAGACAGCATGTGGGGCACTATTGCGAGTGCGGCATTCTCCAATCCGACTTCGGCTACGGGGGAGTGTGATTGGCTCACCTTGCATCGGCGAATGGGGCATGTGGCCCTGCCCATCTTGCAGCAGCTAGTGAAGAATGAGATGGTTGCTGGCATACGTGTGAAGGGGGAGCCCGATGAGGTACTTGGCTGCCCAACGTGCATGCAAGCCAAGTTCACCCGTTACCCGTTCTCTAGTTCGGAGGCAACGGCTAAGGCACCACTTGATGAGGTGGTGATGGACGTGGTGGGCCCCTGCAGCTTGGAGCTGCTGGAGCTGAGTACTTTCTCACCATTGTTGACGTCTACACTCGGATGACTTGGATGTACGTGCTGTCCAAGAAGAGTGACGTGGCTGAAACGGTGAAGACCGATTGGTTGCCGATGGTGGAGCGGCAACAAGACCGGTTAGTGAAGGCAATTCGCACCGATCGAGGGGGAGAGTTCCTGAGCAAGGAGTTCTCATTGTGGCTGAAGAATAATGGCATAAGGCACTCCCTTACCATGCCATACTCCCCTGCAATGAACGGCATCGCCGAGCGAGCGAACCGGACAATCACGGAGACGGCGCGCGGGTTGCTCATTGAAGCCGGGCTACCTGACTATTTCTGGCCTGATGCGGTGCGGAGTGCGTGTGTGGCCAAGAACAGAATTTTGACTCATGTGGGAGCAGAAAAATGAGTGCCTTATGTGGAGTGCATTGGAAGGAAGCCAAAGGTGGATATGCTTTGGGTGTTCGGGTGCATGTGCATGGCGCTTGTGCCTTAGCATCTTCGGCACAACAAGCTCGGTGCCAAGGCGATATGGGCTGTGCACTTGGGCATGGCTCAAAACAGCAAGGGGTGGCTTCTTTGGGACCCATTCACCAAGAAATTATTGGTGAGCAGGGACTGCAAATTCATGGAGAATCTGATGTACAAGGATTGGAAGGCGGAGAATGAGGCAAAGATGGGCGTGCGGTTTGGGGAGGTGAAGAGTTCCGGTTTGGAGCATGTGGAGCTGCCTTTGGAGCTGAGCAGCAGCAGCACCACCACAAGGCAATCTTCCCTTGTGAATGGGGGAGAGGAGGCTAAGGATGCAAAGGAAGAAGAGGAGGAGGTGCAGCACGTGAGCGAGCGTGCACCGACACTTCCTTCTCACACTACGAGCGCTCCACGGATCCGAGTCACCCCGCAGCAACGCCATGAGAGCCTTCATGTCCCTGCAGCTGGGGAGGAAGGAAGGGGCAAGAGGAGAATTCAAGCCCCTAATAGGCTGACCTATGATGCATTGGGAAAGCCAGCCAAGTCAGCTCCGGCCGGAGCGGCACTTATAGTTGGAGATGACGAGGAGAGTGACTACGATGAGTGTGCCTTCGCGTTCTTCTCTCCGGTGGAGATGCCGGGGGAACCAGCAACTCTCAAGGAGGCCTTGGGGAGTAGTGATGCTGAGGAGTGGAAGAAGGCAATGGAGAGTGAGCTGAAGAGCATTGAGGAGAACGGCACGTGGGAATTGGTGGAGCTACCGGAGGGGCGTAAGGCGATTACGTCCAAGTGGCTCTTCAAGATCAAGTCCGACGCCGACGGCAAAATCGAGCGCTACAAGTCTAGGCTTGTGGCAAAGGGGTACCAGAAGAAGTTGAAGTTGGACTATAAGGAGTTGTTTGCTCTTGTGGTGAAGCCGACGACGCTGAGAACCCTACTCGCAGGTGCTGCCATCAAAGGATGGGTGGTGAAGCAAATGGACGTGACAACCGCATTCTTCAACGGCGTCCTAGAGGAAGAGATTTTCATGGCGCAGTCAGAGGGGTTTGATGATGGTAGTGGCAGAGTGTGGAAGCTGAATAAGGCGCTCTATGGGCTCAAGCAAGCCCCTAAGCAGTGGTACTTGAAGTTGCGTGAAGACTTGGAGGAGATCGGGTTCACTCCCTCATCCGCCGATCATTCCTTGTTCATGCTTGGCGAGGGGGAGCAGAGGAGTTTCATAGTGGTTTATGTAGACGACATCCTCATTTTCTCACTCTCCTCTGACCTTGTGAAGGAGGTGATGCTGAAGGCCCTTGGTGATGTGAGCTTCTGCCTCGGGCTCCACATCGAACGAGATGTGGAGAAGCGGTGCATGCGGGTGCATCACGGAAGTACCTGGAGACATTGGCTGCCAACTTTGGGCCGATTGAAGGCCATGTGGCTACACCCTTTCCCTCTGGGTTCAAGTGTGTGAAGGGACCAGAGGAGGAGAGCGTTTGTGAAGAGGAGAGGCGCCGTTTTCACTCGTTCGACGAGTACAAGGAGCAGGAGGATTTGGAGAAGGAGGAGGAGAAGGGGATGGAGAGCGAGGAGGATGAGTGATGCATGTTAGTTAGTGGTAGTATGCATGCATGCTAAACAACCCTTGGACTAATTGTGATTATGGAAATTTGGGGCTCACCTTCATGTTCTATTGTTGTGGCTGAAATTTTGTTGTTGAGGAGAAATTTTGCTATGAAAGTGTGTTCCCCCCCCCCCCCCCCCCCCCCCCCCCCCTCTTACCCCCTCTTCCCTCTGCCCTATAACTTTTTTTTTGGCTGCCCGGGGGGTTTTTTTTGGCTGCCCGGACCTGCGTCTTTTGCTGCGTCTCGGGGGCCCTAAACTAGCGTCCAGCGTCTGGACGCATGCGTCTGGACGCATGCGTCCAGGACGCTGGACGCGTCTTTCTCCACATAGGTACATACTCCCATCACCACCATACCATGCATGGTACATGCACCATACCATGCATGGCACATATTCCCAGCAGCACCATACCATGCATGCAGCACCATACCATGCATGGTACATATTCCCAGCAGCACCATACCATACATGGTACATACTCCCAGCAGCACCCTACCATGCGGAAGAGGCATCGCTCCACGGCCTTCTTCTTTGCCCTGTGCGCTGCTGCCCCCCACAGCAGCTCCACCACCCCCACACCCATCCCCACCGCACTCCCACCACCGCCGCCACCACCATCACCAGCAGCACCGCCAGCAGCAGTGCCAGTGCCGCCGCCTCCCCCTCCTCCCCCCCCTCCACCCGCCCATCCCCATCCTGACGCCTTCCTCCCGCTTCCCGCTGGTCCCCCCATCGCACTCCCCCCTCCCCCCCCCTCACTCCTCCCCCACCACTCCAGGCCCCCTGCTGCCCGCACCCGTGCTTCCCCCCTCTCCCCCCCTCCCCCACACCGCATCCCAGTCCCCCCACCACCTCCCTCCCTCTCCTCCTCCCATTCCCCCTCTCCTTCAATTTCTGAGTCTAGCGATTGCAAGCGAAGCTTCCTCGCTCTTTCCTGTGCCTGCTGCTGGAGCAACAGATAAGCCTCCCCTAGATACACCCTTGCAGCTGCTGAGTCCGCCTCATCCAAAAACCTCCCAAACGCTGCCCTATCCTGCCAACCCTCCGCCTGCTGCCCCTTCTCCTGATCAGTTTCCCCCTTCACCTTCTCCTGCTGCTGCCCTTCCTGCAAGTCACCCTGCCCCTGCCCCTGCCCCCCCTGCTTCTGTGCTCTCTTAGTTTGCTGCTGATGGGGGCGGCGGTGGTGGGCGCGGCGAGTGAGGGAGGACCAAAGGGGCGGGGCAGGGGCGGAGGAGAGGAGGCGCAGAGACAGGCAGGCAGGGGAGGAGGCGAGGGAGAGGGAGAGGGAGGAGGAGGAGATGGAGGCGAGAGGGAGAGCGACGGTGGAGGCTGCTGCTAGGTGGCTCTGAAGTGACTCGAACAGCTGCCGTGGGGTTAAGACCGGGAGCGGGGAGCAGTGTAGGAGGGGGGGACTGTGAAGGGAGGACCGTGCGGTGAGTGTGCTGTGAGGTGAGTGTGCTGTGCGGTGAGTGTGCTGTGAGGTGAGTGTGCTGTGAGGTGAGTGTGCTGTGCGGTGAGTGTGCTGTGAGGTGAGTGTGCTGTGCGGCACTAGAAGCAAGCAAGTAAGCACAGGTGGAACAACTGTTGGTCGCATCCGCTGTGACAGCAACATCACCTGCCTGCCAGTCAACCATGTTACCTGCCAGTCAACCATGTTACCTGCCAGTCAACCATGTTACCTGCCAGTCAACCATGTTACCTGCCAGTCAACCATGTTACCTGCCAGTCAACCATGTTACCTGCCAGTCAACCATGTTTCCTGCCAGTCAACCATGTTACCTGCCAGTCAACCATGTTTCTTGCCAGTCAACCATGTTTCCTGCCAGTCAACCATGTTTCCTGCCCGTCAACCATGTTTCCTGCCCGTCAACCATGTTACCTGCCCGTCAACCGTCTTACCTACCAGTCAACCGTTTTACCTGCCAGTCAAACCACGATCGTTGCGCAGCCCTCAGAAGCTCGTGAGCCTGGCGCACCGCCCTCCCCACACCCCCTTCTTCCTCCTCCCCCTCCTCCCCTTCCTTCCCCTCTGCCATCCCCCCACCCTCGCCTTCCTCCTCTCCCCCCTTCCCCACCAACCCCTCACTGCTACTGTGAGCACCAGCACCACCATCCTCCCCATAGTCTCCGCCCGCTTCCCTCCCAAACACGCTGACGTGGAGCCTCCTGATTGGTTGGCCTTCAGGCGGAGCAGCCCGGAGCATTCCCTGCTTGTCCCTATCGAGTCTTAACGAGGTAAAGGGGAGGCTTGTAGTGGGAATTAGAGGCATGCTGGCAGGTAGAGGGGGCGCGTGAGGAAGGGAGAGGAGCAGCGATTGCACAGTGACGTCAGCAGCAAAGCCAGCGGCGGTTGAGGAGGAGGTGGAGAGGGGCGTTGGCGGAGGAGCGAGGGCAGGATGGGTGCGCTTGACCTTCCACCGGTGCTGTATGCTGCCAGGCACGGCAAGAGAGGAGAGTCAAGGCAAAGGACGCGAGACAAGGAAAAGGATGTGAGACAAGGTACCGTTTGTAGGGATGGTGATTAGTGAGAGAAAGTGGGGTGCGTGCGTGCAAGGTCAGGAGAGGCGGCAAAGGGCGGGGATGGAAGGGAAGGAGAGACGGATGGTTGTGTTGATGTATAACACGGCTGACTTGCAGGTAACGATCTTGACGGGGTCGGGTAGTCCGACCCCTGTGGTGTAGACAGCATGGGGGGGCATGCACGCGGGGTTGGTGAGGTGCTCACCGCTGGAGTGCGGTGTAGAACGGTGCGTCGTCGCTGACTTGCTGTGTGAGGCGTGCTGCCGCGTGCAGCAAGCCTCCCCCCACATCCTGTTGGGCCCGGCAGAGGGCAGACGGGAGGAAGGAGAAGAAGAATGGCGACAGTCATGAGGGGAAGGCGAGAACGAGGAGCATGGATGAGAGGAGCAGAGGAGAGGGGAAGGGGAGAAGAGGCGGAACAGACAGGAGCGTAAACTGGCAACCGAGGAGGGGAAGAGACGAGCTAAAAGGTGCAAATATCCACACACGCACACACGTATATATGCACACATGCGTACATGCACACATGCGTACATGCACACATGTATATATGCACACATGCGTACATGCACACATGTATATATGCACACATGCGTACATGCACACATGTATATATGCACACATGCGTACATGCACACATGTATATATGCACACATGCGTACATGCACGCATGCGTACATGCACACATGCACACATGCACACATGCGTACATGCACACATGCACACATGACACATGCCCATCAGTCCAGAGCCCACCCCTTCACATTGCATACTCCCTCATCTCATGCCCCGCCAAGCCCCACCACTTCTCACCACACGGACTCAAGCCCCACCACACTGAACCGCACTGTACCTACCTGCAGCAGCGTGAGTTTGCCTGCCAGCCGGGCTGTGAGCTCGGAGCTCATCTCTGCTGCATGCTGCTTCGGCTTCGACACCCCACTCACAGCCAGCCCCTCTGCACCGCTCTCCACCGCATTCACCAGATCCACGATCACCCTCAGCTCCTCCTGCGCTGACGTCAGCTGTGACATCACCCCCTGCCACACCCACTCCCCGTGTGCCTCCGCCACTGCCTTCCCCCCAACCCCCCCTGCGCCTGCTGCCTTACCCCCACCTCCTTTCACGTCCTCCCCTCCCCCTCCCTCCCCTTTCCTCCCCTTCTCCTGCTCGTTCTCGTCTCCGCCACCATCCCCATGAGCCTCCCCCCTGTCCCGCCGTTTCCGCCCCCCCTTCCCCCCCCGCGCGCCCTTCCTCTGTGCTGCGCGCGCGCGCGCACCGTCCAGCTGCGCCAGAAGCGCCAGCATGCGCTCACCCTCGGGGGGCTCGCTGGGGGAGGGCGGGGGAAGGACGGGGTGGGGGGTGGAGAGAGGGTGGGTATGGATGTGGGGAATGGGGGGGAAGAGAGTGGGGGGAGAGTGAGGGGATGCAGGGAAAAGGCGATAGGGCATTGAGAGATAAAAGGATTGGCACCCGAGGGTGGGAAGGGCGAATGAACGCTAGCTGTACTCTTGGTGAGTGAATTGCAATTCGTACAGCACGTGGTGTGGGAGGAAGTGAGGGAAGGGAAAAGGTGGGGAGGGGGGACGTGGTACGTACAGCACGTGGTGTGGGGGAAGGGGAGGGGAAGGGAAGGGGAGAGGGGAAGAGGGTGACGTGGCACGTACAGCACGTGGTCCTCGCTGCCGGTGACGTCCATCTGCCGCACGCGCTTCACGCGGAGAGGGTCCACCGTTACAATCACATCATCCGTATCGCCATCGTCGTGGTTACCTTTTGCGTCCACGCCGTTCTGTGCTGCGATCGCACGCGACGCGTTCGTTAATCCGTCGTCCATCGGAAGAAAGCTAGGGCTGGGTACGGGAGTATACTGCTGGTATGGGTACGGGAGTATACTGCTGGTATGGGTACGGGAGTATACTGCTGGTATGGGTACGGGAGTATACTGCTGGTATGGGTTACTTCGGGTTGGTTTCACGAGTTTCCGTGGTGGGCGCGGTTCGGGGCCCTAGACGGGTCTAGACCGGGCTCTGCCAATAAAAACTACTGGCGGCTCAAATGCTTGACGGTGCAGGTCTAGGCAAGGTTTTGTAGCGGTTCATATATTTCGAACATATGAACTACGAAGATTGCGAGCTGTCGCCAATTTCGTCAGCAGCATTTTAGACGGTCGCAGCGGGTAAAGGTTGTCCAGATGCCAAGGAGGGAGCTTGTTACGAATGCAATTGAGTGAGCTAACTAGGATTGCACTATCAAAGAAAGAGTACAATGAGCGAAAGAATCGAGCGAATGTTATATAGTGAAACTAGCGTGGTAACGGTAACACGCGGACTGTGTGGGGTGTGCGACGGGCCTTGTAAGGAATTTTCCCGAATTCCTTATCGGGGTTGACTGCTTTGCGTACAGCCCCGATTTTCGGACTCTGCACGTTTGGCCGACATCAACGATGCCGAGCCTCCTCGCGTCGCCTTCGGCTTTTCTCTTCGCCAAACCTGCACCCAACCTCACTCACCCGAAGTTCCCTCCTAGCCAGCCTACTCACTATATTAGCGTGTGCCTTCATTGTAAAATCAGTCTGTTCAATCACCTTTTCGTTATTCGTTAACCTGCGCACTCTCTTTTACAACTCATAATACCTGGTATCAGAGCTACTTTCCTAGTTCACCCCGCTTTTCGAGGGTAGTTTGGTGGCACGGATTGGCTGGTATTGTCAGAATCCCAACCTCTAGAACATTGGGATAAAAGGGCTTGTTAAGTGGCGGGTCAGTCCGCCCATAACCCCCCAGGCCAATATCTCTGTAACCCTTCCCTAGGCTTTCTGGGTTACGGACCTTAGGTCCACATTTTACTGAGATTCTAAACGGTTGAGCATGATGAAGAAAGTTCAACCGTGGTTACCGGCGGTACTTCTCAAATCACGTTGCTGCAAAACCGGCTAGACCAAACAGACCCAACAAATTCTTAGTTCATCCAAACGGAAGAGTTGGTACGGTACGGTATTGACTTGCTCTGCTCGGACCTACCAGAAATGCAACGCTGTGCTGTCGATTTCGGAATTGAGTTGCGGTGCGCTTCGTCACTTCTGCTGTGCCGGACTTGCTGCGCTGGGTTCACAGGAATATTTCTGCCACGCGTACAAGGGTTCGTGTTTCTTTTGTTGGGTGGTGTGCAAGGGATGACACGTGACGTCCACTACTCGAGTCGTACCGTTCCTGCCGCGATGAGCCATGACTTGTGTGACATGACTCTGGTCAGAGTTGGTTGGTCAGTTAAGTCAAGAGGATCTGTCGCCTCTGCAAGTACACCCTGTTCTTGCTAATTTCACACCCTTAATACCGAGTCGCGTCTACGTTCCGCGCGGGCGAGGTGTGAAATTAAAGGGGGAAAAAAGCCGCGCGGTAATTTCACACGCCAGATTACTGGACTTGGATGCTGACTGTAAAGTGCGAGTGTACAGCGCGCGCCAGCCTGGAAAATGCCCCACTCGACTGTTGCTCAGTACAACCAAAGAAAACACATTCAAAGACTAAAACCAAAATGCATACACAGAAAGAAACAGGTCCAAAACAGAAAGCATACTCAAAGGAAAGGTAAAAAAGTTGGAAAAAAAATCAGCAAATCCAGAGAGTAAAAACCCACACATACATCAACCCAAAAGCATCCAAACGGCCTCACAAAGCACACCACCACCCCCTGCCTCAGCGGCACAACCCCGCGAGCGCCCATTCAACGTAGTCGCCAAAAAGATGAGATCGAATATCGTCGTGACCAAGATGGCGAATTGCGGGTAGGATGTACCTGGCAAGACGGCTATCCGTACTCCAGCTCTCTAGAGCTGCGACGGCGGCATTAATCGCCCTCGCCGAACGCTCACCATCCGCATGCGGGTCGTCGTTCAAATCAAAGGGCAAGCCGGCCGAGCGTGGACCAAGTATCCACCAACTCCGCCTCACTTCCGCCGCTTCCTCCCCCCCTCCGGACTTGTTTGCAATTCACGGTCAACGCGCACAAACTCACGGCCCGTCATCGAGTCATTGTGGATTTTTAAATTGCGAATGAGGGCCGTAAGTGCCGTTACATCGTCACGTGGAGGGTCACGACTTGGCCCTTGGAAAATCGCCTCGATACCCCACTCCTCCAACCACAAGAATGGCACGATGCCCGACCGGCGCCAACAACGTCGAATGATTTCCTTCTCGACGTTGAGCCACACGCCACACATCCACAATATCGCCACACGGAGCTCCGGCTTCAACCCCTTCCTCACATTGGGATCGTCCACGTTTTCAAACTTGCCAATCAACCAAGACACAAGAAATTTACGATAGCGCATCTTCAAGGTGGAAATAATGCCTTGGTCTAGAGGTTGGGTGTGCGATGTGCAATTGGGGGGAAGATAGATGACACGAATGTTCCCAAACTCCGTAATCTTGATCCCGAGCCGTTCATACTCCATCACTCCTTCGAGCCCCACCAACTTGTGTGAGCTTGCATTGTCCACAATGATTGCAATGCGACAATGGTCTCTCACCATGCTATCATTAACCCCATCGATCCATTGTGAGAAAATCTGAAATTGTCAAAAGAGAGGAGAAGGAAACACAAATGGTACATTAATGAGAATGACATTTACGGCACATGTCACTTACGAAACACATTGTGAAACGGATGCTTACTTGTGATGTCATCCACCCCTTGGTGTTTGCACGGTATACCACGAATTCATCCACGTAGAAGTCGCGGAATGACCATGGATTCTTGGCCTTGCCAATTATGATTGGCATCATGAGGTCGCTCCCATCGGCGTTGCAACAAACGGCAAGGGTCACGCGATCCTTGCTTAAACGCCCACCCGATACGCTACCGTTCGCAAAGGTTCGCCTAGGTTGTTGGCCATAGAAGACGCCGGTTTCGTCAAGGTTGTACACGTCCGTAGATTCGTACCCGAAGTCGGCGAGAAGTTTGGGCACATTCTCCCGAGCTAGCCCAATGGATTCACTGCTTGCATCCGCCGCTTCCCCTTTGCGAATGTAAGATGCCATTCCCATGCGTAGTAAGGCGCGCACTAACCACCCCGTACTAACAATAAACTTCATTGGAAGGTTGAGGAACTTCGCCAATTTCGCGGATTTCTCAAGAAGGATGTCGAATGTCACGGGACGGTTGTTCCTCCGCTGTCGCGTCGCCCACGTTCTCAACTCATCCTCTAGTCCGGCATAGTGTCCGTATCGCTCACGTTTGCGCGATAATGGCAGAGTGCTATTTTTCCATTTCTCCGCTTGCTGAAGAATCCAGCAAATAGTGGTACGGCAGGGCCTAATGTTGAGCGTGGTAACACACCAACCTACTATGTCGGTCTGACTCATGTCGGGATTTGACTCCTTGAGAGAGCATATCTGAAGTTTCTGCTCCCTTGTGAATGCAATGTTACGGGGGGGAGTAGGCATGTTTGCTCACGGACTCTTGCTGGAATTGTGTCGAGTGAGAAATGAGTTTTGCAGAAATTGGGTTGGTGAAGACTTGATTTCTCGATTGTTTCCTGGCTTCGTAGGGGGTGTTCAGATAATTTCGTGTCGGCGCATTTTAAGGTTTGGTGTGTAATGTGTGGCTTGTTTTATCGCACATAAGTGTCAGAAATCTCATTGTGTCGATTCTACTTTCTAAATCTCACGAGCAGGGCAGCCTAACAAGTACGTCCTTATGATGCCCGGCTCGTCGTTTCAAATTGGTGGTGTGTCTTCCTCTGTGAAAGGGTGAAATCGAATCGACGAATGAAATTGTTTCATTCTCACATTGCACCAATCACGCTTCATCTTATTTGTGGGAGGAGAAGTTCCTTCCCCTTGCTCAGCTTTCGGACTCAACAGATTCACCCCCCCAACACCCTTAGGTCCGAAAAGCGTTCCTGCTTCCAAGGAAGCTGGAACACTACCAACCGCTGCCACCTAGGCATGGTCGTCAGGTCGCTGGCGATCCCGAGTCGCGCTGTGCGTTTAACCCCTGTGAAATAATCGAGAACAAGGTGTAGTGTGGTTGCTGGTACACCTAATGCCTGATAGAGTCCCCCGAGGGTCCCTTGTGCTCTGGGCTTATAAGCGAATCCTTCATTTCGCCTCATTCACAAACATCGCCAGAGGCAACATGTACCTTTAAAAGACACATGTTGTAACAAGTTTGTTTTTTCTTGCACGGTGTTGGTCGGCAGGGTTTGTTGCTTTTGTGTAGACATGGTTACCACTCATTTTTATGTTGTACTATTGCATGCGATTACCGTCCTTCTCTCCATTTGTCACAAACAACCCCCCCAATCCGCAGGCCAATGAAAACGCCACATCTGTACCCATGCAAACACACTCGCAAAGGCAAACATTAGTTTGCAAATGTGCACAAGTCGTGCACATTTACAAACAGTGGAGATAGCACTCCTCTATGGGGTCTTGAGCCCCTTTCACAGCCGCATCCACTCAGCGGCGGCCAAAAAGCCGCTCATAACGACAGACTCCAGCGTCAATCAGCTCCTGGCGAAAAGCTGACTGCGCCACCCAGTCAGGGGTGGGCACCGTCATCCACGCCGGCAGCACGCGACCACGGCGACGGGGGGTCTCAGCCGGCGGAGTGCCCTCGTGAGTCATGGCGGGCGGCGGGGTCATGTTGAGATCAAGTGGCGGGCTTGCTCGCTCCATCCTCGCAATGATGATGGGGTTGCGGATGTCGAAAAGCACGCAGAGGTCCCCCAGGGTGATGCAGGTGGCCCGCGCATAGCCAATAAGCATCTCGCACGCCGCGCGCGCCGTGCGCCTCGCTTCGCGACACGTCGGGTTGGTGTCGTCGTAGACAGCTTGCATCGTCGCCAGGGCCTCCCACATGTCGCCAGCCGGTGCCACTTGCGGCTCGGTCGCGAGGGGGTCCTCTCCCGGCTCGGCGCAGGTCGTGTCGTCGATGGCGACGAACTCCTCCACGGCCATCGCACCAGAGCCGAGGCATAGTCGGTCGATCAGAACGCCAACGTCGTGCACTTCCGCGTCGAGCCCGATGTCGTCGACGTTTCCGGCCGCGGTGCCATTGCCGACGTTGCCTCCTTCCACGTGCTAGAGTTGCATTGCTCATGCACGCGGGAGGCACCCGGTTCGCCACCAGCAGCGCTGGATGGTGCGCACCGGAATCTCCATCCAGGCGTCGTTGAGCCATGCCATGACGTCACGAAGGTTCGGTTTGAACCGAGCGGTCGCGGATGTTGCGCCTTCTGCAGACCACATGCCGGTGAAAGCGCGGGGCCAATGCGCGCGATAGCGCCCCTTCGCCATGGCGATGAGCCCCTAGTCAAGGGGTTGGGTGAAGCAAGTGGTGTTCGGAGGCAGGAACACTAGTCGGACATTCCCGAGAGCGCGCATGCGGAAGCCGAAGAGATCTTCATTCACGGCCCCCTCGGTCTTGAGCGTGTGACTGCTCGCGTTGTCGAGCAGAATCACGATTTTCCTCCGCTCGGCAAACATGGCAGCGTCCAACTGCTCGATGTAGTGCGTGAACAACTGCCATGACAAGCCGAACACATTGGGACGGGGGTTGGGTGTTGTTACTAAAGTTATAAACGAGCATTTAATAACGAAAACAATGCCGTGAAACAATGCAGTCGAAAAAACTAGACAAGAGGCCGGAATGGACAACGACTCACCGATTAAGCCATCCATCCCTTGGCATTGTTGCGCCAATAGCAGAGCTCCTCCGGGTCGTAGTCGGGGCTGAAGTCATGGGGCCGCTTCGCCTTGGAAATAACAAGAGGACGGAATGAACGCGGTCCGTCCGCTTTGACGAGGAATCCGACGGTGAGGCGTGCCTTCGCCACCTTCCTTCCCGCCGTACGCCCCTTGCCGAAGGTCTTGCGTGACAGGACGGAGAGGTACAATGCCGTCTCGTCGAAGTTGAAGGTGTCCTTCAGCCCCACCGCGAGATGCATGAGTTGCGGGAGCTTCTCCCGGGCCGTACGAACGGCCGCCATGTCCTGGTCTGCCGCCTCGCTGACTGCACTCATGCACCTGACACCCTGGCGGCGCAGCGCATGACGGGCCTATCCGATGGAGCAGTGGAACGTCGCAGGCAGTCCTTGGGTGCGTGCCATAGTCGCGACATGGTCGCGAATGGTCGCGAGAGTGAGAGGCACGCCTGTCGGGCCCGCATTGGCAATCCAGCGAGCCATGGCTCGCTCCAGGTCAGGGTGAGCGCCGCCACGCACGAGGACTAAGTTGTTGGTCGTGTTGCCAATAGCCCAACATTCGGCGCCCTTGAGAACACGCCCGATTGTTGAACGATCGGGACGAATCCCGAAAACGGGTGAAACACCAGCGTGCGAGATCGACGTGGCACAGCAGGAGATTGGCAACATGATGGGCGCATGTCGCCCTCTTGATATGCAGGCCTAGCTGAGCGCGGTGGTAGAGACGAGGCATGGTGAGACTACGAGGTAAAGAGAAACTATGAATGTTGAGTGATTTTCCTCCCTTTTTATTTTGATTAGACGGTGGCCCCTCAAAGGGCGAGGTGTGTTCGCATCTGGTTCAAATGTTGAGCCAGGCGACAATAACAACCCATGCATGTGGCTTCGTTTTAGGAGGTTATGCTACCCTGTAACCACCACCATTAGGTTTGACGTGTCCTTGTTGGGCAACGAGCGGTTCTCAAAGAGGCAGTACCGAGCTTGGGCAAGGTACAGGTGGATTGGTGAATGTGTCCTAAGTCCGTTTGACGCACCATGAACTGTCATACGTGGCACACAGCCAGGTGCGAATGTACGCGCGACGTCAAACGAGTTTCGTCCCGTCATTTCGTAAACCTTGTTTCTGGCCTAGAAACAAGGATTACCTTGGACAACAACGTTTTTTTTTTGCCACATAACCTTTTTTTGTTGTATTCCCCCACACATGCAAGTTGACCGGGGGGTCTATACCCTCCTGGGTGCAACATCGGGGCAAAAAACCCACGGGTGCAATGTTTCCAATTTGTGCAGGGCAATTTCGCGTGCATGGGTTGAGCATCATGTGTAGTGGTTGATTCAATCTACGGAAAAGTCATGCTGGTAAATGAATTACTAGTGACTGTGTCAATAATCATTTATAAGTAGGTTATTGAAGGGGGTCAAATATATTATGCTCTATTCTGATGCAATAGATTCCCTCCCATATCTACAAGCAATTTCTCAGATTTCTGGTGGCCTTGAAAGCAATACAGGCTGGGAAACAAATCATAGGCAGTTGGAGGGAAATGGTAGAGGTTGGGTTGGCGAGGGGTGGGGGGAAGAGGGGTGAGCGTTGTTGTATGCGATGCACTTGTTTGTGTATTCAACATAGTTGTTGAGGTGAAATTTTGAGATGAAACAAAAAAAAATCATTTCAGTAGCTTTATTTTAATAACGCAGTATATATAAATGATAATGGTACTATAGAATGTGTCCATTCGTAAATGTAACAGTTAGGTGTCAAACTGCATGTTTGTGTTCTCTCTAGGCTATAGTGGGTTAGACTACAAGGGGTACAACACTGTAGGGTTCGTACTTGTACCCAACTCATTCATAGTTCATTCATTCCTGCACAGTTATTCTGACATGGTATCAGAACAGGAAACTTGGACTTGTCATTGGAGGGAGTGCAACTCGTAGTCACGCTGAGTAACTCGTGAGGGAGAGCAACTCGTAGTCACGCTAAGCAGCGACGTGCTGCAACACCCGAAGAGTGGTCATCTTCGGGGTGGCAGAGAAGGTCTGGAAGTAGTCGACCCCCTGTCACTGACTGAAGCTTGAGCAACGTAACGCGCCTTGAAGGTAGGCACAGAACCCGGCGGCCGCTTCTCCCTGAAAATCCACATGCCATCGACTATGTTCGCCCGAGACGGGGGAACTGCGTCGACGTAGGTGCCTGTGGACTTCCAGGGTGCCATCTCGGCATCCATGGCTGCCTGCCACTGAGAGGAGTAAGGACCCGTAATCGCCTCTGCGTAAGAGCGCGGGGTCGGGATCTCTGGTGCATCCGGGTATCCCTCAGGGGCAAGTAGCATGGAAGCGAAACGAGGTACAACAGCCGCAAGACACTCAAAGTCCTCTTGCCTGTCCTCAAGGACGTCCGTGCCAAGAGCACACTCACCCTCAACGAATGGAGGACTGGCAGACTCATACTCAGCAACAAAAGCAATGGCGTAGTCTAGACAACAGGCAGCAGCAAAGTCAACTAGCTCAGCAACCAGGGCAGACGCAGCAGTAGACTCAAAAGAAGGGTCAGTGATGGCAGGAAGAGAGGACTCAAGAGGAGGCGGCATAGGAACACGCAGTGGAACAGAGGAAGGACGAATTGACATAGCGTGGGTGCCGAGGACAGGAGGAGGACGCGGACGAGGAACGCGACGACCAGTGCGAACAACGCGAACAGGCGAGGCAGGACGAGACTCAGGCTCACGACGCTCTGTAAGACCTCCAGTCTGCTCAGTGTAAGGAGAAGGAGCACGTAGTGAAGAGGCTGGCTGTAACGGCGGCTGTGACTAGTCAGGCAGTGGACACAGCAAGGGAGGAGTAAGGCCAGCAGAAGACGGGAGACCAAGAACCTACTGAAGTAGGGGAACGAAGTACGGTCGCGGCCGCATAGTGCCTCCAGCACCAATACCGCCAGACACAGCACCCCCAGCTCTAGCACCTCCAGCTCCAGGGTCAATAGCCCCAACTCCTTCAGCGCCAACGCCACCAGCGCCAGTGCCTCCAGCTCCTGCGCCAAGAGCTCCAGCGTCTCCAGCTCTTGCTCCTCCAGCTCCAGCGCCACCAGCGCCAGTGCCTCCAGCTCCAGCGCCCCCAACACTACCAGTCCCGGCAGCCCCAGTACCCCTAGTACGAGCACCTCCAGGACCAGCACCTGCAGCACCTCCGGTACCACCAGCTCCAGCAGTGACTCCAGGACCGCAAGCTATAGTGTCTCCAGCGGCAGAGTCTCCAGCTCCGGCAGCTCCACTCTGAAGGCGGGTGCGCTGAGCAAACCACTCGCGCAGCTGCTTCGGGGAGAGAGGCTCCGGCCGGGGAGACAGTCGTGGCAAAGCACTTGCAGGACCTCCAGAAGAAGCAGTACCCCGATGCTCAGCACCCCCAGACTCCGCACCTCCAGACTCAGCACCCCCAAGCTCAACACCCTCAGGCTCAGCACCTCCAGGCTCCACACCCGCAGGCTCAGCACCCGCAGGCTCCGCACCCCCAGACTCGGCACCCTCAGACTCAGCACCCCCAGGCTCCGCACCCCCAGACGCAACACCCCCAGACGAAGCACCTCGAGCAGCACCTGAGCTGACAGCTACCTCAACAGGCACAGTACCAGGGAGAGGGTCTACCTATGACACACCTGAGGGAGCAGGACCCTTGGGGGGGAGGGGGTCTACCGGAGGGGGACCTGGAGCAAGGAAGAGTGGCGGAGGTGGGGGAGGGGCAGAGCGTTAGGGGAAGAGACGGTAAAAGGGAACCGAATCGTCAAAGGTGACGTCCTGAGAGGGAAGACACGGCATGAGGTGGGGTGGTAGAACTGCCAGCCAGGCACGTTAGGGGGAAAGCCAAGGAAGACGCAGGGAATAGCGCGGGCAGAGAGCTTGTCCCCGGATGTATCGCGAACAAAGGCACAAGAGCCCGAGACCCGGAACACTGACGCATCGCCAACCGCCCCCGTCCAACGCAGTGTCGGCGAGGTCTCCGGCAAGGAGACACGAGGCTAGAGGTTGAGCTGATGCGCAGCGTACCGGACCGCAAACGGCCACAGAAAATGGGGAGCACCCGCATGGATCATGGAGGTACGAGCGACCTCCATGACTAAGCCAATGCGGCGCTCAGCAATCCCATTTTGCTGAGGGGAGGCTGGAAGCGTGAACGACTGGAGAATGCCCTCCCCACGACAAAAGTCCAGCAAGAGGTCAGAGGAGAACTCACCACCTCTGTCAGAGTGCAGACGCAGGACAGGAAGGTCCTCGCGGAACCGCTCGCGGAGCTGGAGACGGACTGCAGTGATCCAAGGGATCAAAACATCTGGGACCTCCTCCTTGCTGCGCAAGGGGAAGACCATGGTGTAGCGCGTGTAGTCATCAACAACCAGCAGAAAGTAGCGCTCGCGGCCCTGTCCACTGACGCGGGCTGGGCCCCACACGTCCATTTGGAGAGTCTGCAGGGGAGTAGTCGTCGGGGGAAACGAGGAGGAGTGAGGAGCGGCGCGCTGCTGCCCCTCGACGCAAGGAAGGCAGGGCAGGGCAGGCGGGGGCGGGAGAGGATGCAGAGACCTGGGAAGACCAGAGATAAGGAGGCGGGAGTGCATGCCACGAAGGCGTGGCAGGGAGTGGTGACCAAGGCGGTGGTGCCACAGGAGAGTCAGGTGTGACAGGAGGCGACACGAGCAGGGGGGTGCTACCGGACCTGACGCGGACACCTGGGCAGACGCAGCTACCTGAGGAGGCTCAGTAGCCAGTGTGTACAGACTTGACCCTGGCCGACGAGTGAACGTGGCCAGGTTACGGCCCGTCCGTGTACACGTGCAGATCGACACACGCTGACCTCCAGGAGTGGTGGTAGTGACCATTGCATCCTGTAGGGCTGCGGTACACACCAAGTTCGTAGAGAACGAGGGGAGGTGAAGACCTGACAGTGAGCCGGACGGAACCGCCGAACACAGGAGAAAAGTGGTGAAACGGGCAAGGACTAGGCCCCTTGAGGGGTCAGCCAATCTGACCGGTATAGGTGCAGAGAGAGGAGTGAGGGTGGTGCTGTCGCGAAAGAAACAGCATGAAGCACCTGAGTCAAGTGTAAAGGTGTGCAAGGCCACAGCAGGCGCAATACCAGGGAGAGCAGACTCACTAGCACCTAGAGCAGCAGCCTCTATATCTGGGTCAGGCGGCACACACAGGTAACAGCCACCCTGAGCACTAACAGACAAGGTATACATAGCAGCAAGGATAGCATCATAGTCTAGGTCAAAGATAGCAACTCCAGACCTAAGC